AAGACCAAGGTAAATGGGAGGGGCAGCAACCCTTTACCCTTGATTGTCATTGAAGGTGTGCCACTTCTCAGCCAAAGGTACAGAGTGAAGAAGAAAGGCAAATTATATATTTTTCCCCTGAAAGGCACAGCCCTTTGTCTCAGTTTTTTGCTATTGAACCCCCAAATCCCTGTCTTACGCTCATAACTCCTCACCCTTCTCCACTGTCGGAAGGACTGGGCAACTTGTAAGTATTCGGCCAATAACTGAATGGCTGACTGCACCAGTACCTCTTCCGGGCCTGACACCAATTAGAGGCAGTAAACACGGCCAATAGGTATTGTTGGGGTCCTATGAAGTGGTACATCTGAAAGAAGAAAAGAGAAAAAGACAGAAAAGCAGAAAGTGAGGACTTAGCCTTGTGCTTCTGTCCACGTACATACCATGTTTAAAAAAGAGCAGTAGATGCAAATTTGAGAGATGCTTATTTATTTACCTATCTAACAAATCCATTTTATTTATTTTCAGTTAAGTTTAAGCCCTTGAGGGGTACAACATTACACGGATTCTGTGTCCCCTAGCCTTAGCAGGAAGGTTGCTTTGGAATTTAGCACGAGCCATGCCACTGTTTCCATGAGCACGAGTTTCCTTCCCCAGATGCCTCTGGCTCTGTTCGGTTTGCCACCAGGAGTCACTGTGGTGTTCTTTGTTTTGTTCACATAAGCACATCTCTTGCCTAGACAGAATTCTGTTCCATCTCGAGCGTAAACACCTTCAATTTTAAGAAGAGCTGTGTGGCTCCCTCTGGTTCTGGAGACCCGTTCCCAGCAGGCCTCCACAGGGTCCAAGATGGTGGAAAAGCCAGGTGCTTCTTTAAAAAAATAGGTGATAGGGATGCTTGACTTTCTGTAGCAAAATAAACACAGATGGCAATCTTGCATCCACATGGTCACCCGACATACATGAATGAAAGGGCTATAGTAAAAATATTCAAATGCGTAACTGTCAAAAAGATCTGGCCAAAAATGGGTTAATCATCATAACCATAAAAATAAGTAAGTTTGTTTAGTGAGTGGTTGAGAACACATAGCCACACGGTTTTGAGTTGAGTCAAAAAGGATTTTAGGCCCCATTCCTGGCTCTATACCCATCAACTGTCTGACCTCGGGCAAGCTACCTAACTTCTAGAGCTTCAGTTTCCATGCTTCTAAAATGGGGATAATTGGCCCTAACAGGTTTGGCTCAGTGGATAGAGCATTGGCCTGCGGACTCAAGGGTCCCAGGTTTGATTCCGGTCAAGGGCATGTACCTTGGTTGCAGGCACATCCCCAATAGGGGGTGTGCAGGAGGCAGCTGGTTGATGTTTCTAACTCTCTATCCCTCTCCTTTCCTCTCTGTAAGAAATCAATAAAATATATTTTAAAAAATAAATAAATAAAAGGGGGATAATTGTACCTGCCCCCTAGGATTTTTGTGAGGATCCAAGAAAAAAGTTGGTTATTCTTTATTATACTATTTCATCACCTAGAAAACTTCTTTAAGATGAAAGAAAACCCTGCTCTTCACATCGACCAATAACTGAGAATGGTGTTTGGCATATCCCAAGTTCCACAAGTATGATCGCTCTACATAGATTAATATGGTTACCTATCGAATACCAAAGCAAGATTTCTAAGGAAAGGACTTGCTGGGAGTCTCAAACTTATTTGGCGAGACCTTTCGGTCTTGTAGACTGTATCCTCTTCCCTGGTGCTTGTGTTTATTACAAACATCTGAATTTCAGCTTAACCTTTAAATTTTAATCATTTGTTCAATCACTTTTAAGTGAAATTTGATTATAAAAATCAACAATTTAAATGTTAACATGTTGTCGAAACCGGTTTGGCTCGGTGGATAGAGCATCGGCCTGCAGACTCAAGGGTCCCAGGTTTGATTCTGGTCAAGGGCATGTACCTGGGCGGCGGGCACATCCCCAGTGGGGGATGTGCGGGAGGCAGCTGATCGATGTTTCTCTCTCATCGATCTTTCTAGCTCTCTACCTCTCTCCCTTCCTCTCTGTAAAAAATCAATAAAATATATTAAAAAAATAAAAAAATAAATGTTAACATTTTAAATAATCAAAACTGAATTTACTGCTGACATCCACACAGCTACCTGTTTCACTTCTGGAGAGAGCTATTCTTTACGCTGACTTCTGCTTTTTATGATGGGTGAGAGTGAGGAGCCTGGGAACAGTTGTCACCTGAGGAAGCTGCTACAATATTTTTTAAAATTTCCTTGTTTCTCTTCACTTTATAATACCAAAAAAAGAGAGGGACAAATCAAATTAGTATCATCTGTATAATAAATTTATTTAACATCAAATCTGGTTTAGTGGAAATCCTTCCATCCCTCTAATGAGGAATGAGGTCATGTCTCCTACAATAAATCATGTCCATTAAACTTATCTTCTTTTCTGGATGCTTTCCTTCTTTCATTTGTTTGTCATTTCCAAGTCTCTAATTCTTGTTGATTGCTCAGTTAAATGAAATTACTGACTTTTTTTTAATGTTGAAGAGGGTATATAACTGAAGCTACAAAATATTACCTATATCAACACAAGCCTGCTCTCCATTCTACAATAATTTTCCTCCTTCAATTTTTTAAAAGGCAAACACCAACTTAATTTTACTCAAAACTCTCCAAACATTTTCGATTTTTTTTTTGTGTGTATCTTTTATTTCATGCGTGTCTTCTCTCTTTTGACATTTTCTATTCCTTTGATACCAAGAACAAAATAGGAAAGTTGGTTATAGTTTATTATACTATTTCATTACCTGGAAAACTTATTTAAGATGAAAGAAAACCGTGGAGTAATAACTGATTGATCTCCATACACTTCTTTACTGCTCTCATTTTCCTTTACTCCAAAATTACACCCGGAAAGATTACAGCCCTGCTTAAGTAACTCCCACATATTTTCAAAGACAAGCAGAGAACTGTGATGTCCTCCAGGGCTCTTAAAAGGTCTCGTCTACTCCCAGGTCTTGAGATGGGATCCCTTACAGAGGAAATATCAGGATTCTAAGTCGAGGATCAGAATCTGAGTTATTTTAACAAATTGAGCAAACGTGGAAAGCTACCAGTCCAGGGTCGACTTTTTACACATGTGGAAACTAAGACCCAAACAGGCTGTACTGTCCAGAACAAGGCTATTTCATATATTTGCATATATATTTATACATATAATTTGCTTAAAATTCTTAAAGAATATTCAGATGCGTTATCATAGATCCTAATTAAAGAGATCTTGAAGACAAAACTACGCCGTAACAGTTGGCCTTTTTCAACGACCGCAGTACATGGAATCTTCAAGGAAGGAGATCTTTATGCCAAGCACCGTGGTTTTATTCCCTTGTTGGTAATGATTCTGTGTTTGGAAACGGCACCTCTGCGCCATTCTTAAATCTGTCGTCGCGTAAACGTTCCGCTTTCCCACCACGCTGTTCCCCACCGCGGGGCCGCCCGGCTCCGCACCCATGT